AACCTGTTTATCTATGTTGGTTGAATATAATGCACAAATAAACTATTATTGGCGATCACTTGAATTATAATCACAATTAACCCTAACAAGATTATTAATTATCTTATTAAGCGTGATTGCAAATACCAATTCCCTTTAAACATGCAATAAAGGTGTGATCAAGCAATAACAATATAAAATGTAATACATATCAAGCAACATAATAAATAACATCATGAATAATAATAATATCAATCATAATCATAATCATGTTAAAGCATAGCAAGATCCTAGGCATGATACTAACAAGATTAATAACAAATCCCAGCATGTCACTAAACAATAAAAATCAAATCTTTAACCCTAACATGATACTAACATGGATAAATATTAGGAAGAGAATAAAAGGCATCATAGCAATCATATTTAATATTAAAATTACCCTAGACATGATACTAGTAATCATAATAACAATATAAACATGATATCTACATCATAATATCAATTAATCAATTAAAGTACTTACTTGGATGTCTCGTACCTCTTTCTAATTACAAAATACACACGTTAGTAACTTCAAGGAAAATAATAATCAAAGCAATTAAATTAAATAATCGAGAGATTTGGGACCAAACCCTCAAAAATTAAAACCTTTCACATCTAGGGCGAAGGCAACTTCGAATATGGCTAGGTGTTTCTAGATCTAATGAATGCGGAATTTTGTATTTGAGAAAAGGCTAGAAAGAATTAAAGAAATGAAAGAATGAATATTTATGAAAATTGATGAAAGAGATGAATGAAAAGAATTATTTGACTGTAGATGAATGCTAATTGATGAATGATTTATGAATGAGGAGAGTTGATAAGAATTGACGAGAGTTGGTGAATCTTGATGAATGAAAACGGAGTTTTTGATACGATATTTATAGAGAAAATCATCCAAAAAAGATAATTTAACAAAACAGAGTCTGAAGATCGTAAAACAACCTTGGCGCCAACCCTGGCTAATTGGCGCTAGCACCAGTGGTTAGCGCCAGCATCAATGGCTAGCTTCTGGCGCCAATCCTGGTTCCAGGCGCCAAGGCCTAGGGTTGGACGCCAAATTGGATTTCAACGCGTTTTCGAAAATCTGATAAATTTACCGTACTGGAAGATAAAATAATATAATTCCTTCAAATACTATTTGATTTTGATTAAAACTCTGAAAAGTCCTAATTGAATTAGGAATGAAAAGAATCTTCTAGAATGTTCTAAAAGACTAAAACCATTCCTAATTACATTAGGAATGATAAATTATATTAGGCCCTCCCCTAGATCATTAGGCCGTACTTAAAGCTCAAACCGGGTCCAGTTTAGTAAATTGGCCGTAACTTCCTCAATATTCATCGGAATTGGGCTTATAATATATCGTTGGGAAGGTCTTTGCAAACCCCATCCAACTACACCACTATCGGAACCATATCATGGACCAACCAAACCGGATTGGTTGTTTTCTTAAAATAAAGTTTTCAAAAACAGGAAGAAGAGAAAAGAATTAAAACTTTCCGCAACACTAGACCTTTCCACACTTCGTTTCATTCGATTATGATTCGACGTGAAAGGTACTCATCACTGAGTTTGGTTTTGGGGAGACACAAATGGGTGTCTACACATGTACATCTTAAAGTATATTGAAGCTGAAAATAAATCAGATTGGTCAAAAATATTCTATACGGTAAAGTTGAATTAGATTGATTTATAACTTTCATACATATATAATAGAGTGATAGATACAAGGTTGAGTGTTTTTTCTTTTCTTTTCTTTTTTTTTTTTTTTTTTATGCAGATGGCGTCCATGAGAATTGAACGACTTAAGTATTTGGCAAAACTCATCACTAGCGAATTTAATGAAGCTACACTATTTAAGCTGCTATTTTGGGAGATGCATCCATTGATCTCAAGCAGCTATCTTAATTTTTTTTTTTTTTTTTATTTTTTTTTTTTTTTTGAATGGAGCAGCTATCTTGATTTATCTCATGTATTATTGACTTATTGTTGAATGGTGTTATTCTATAATTGCCACTTTCTTTTTTACATTAATAATATAACTGAGGTTATAGTGGAATAAGTAATACGAGTAGGAGGTAATATGAGAGATATTAAAGAAATCAAACAATAAGCTATCCAATCTAATATCATCAAATAGGAGGTGAATAGGAGTAGCACCATTGTTCAAGCACGTAATTGCTTTCACCACTTTTGTAAAATCACTTTCCACCCACACATTTGTATATCCAAGAGCTGAACAGAACTAAAATGAACTAATTGGAGTTGAACTGAACTGAAATTAAGTAAATGTGAACAGACCCTTAATCAAACTAGACCTTGTGCGGATATCGTAACAAGTCAAAACATGTCATTTATTTATTTTGAAATGAAGAAAATAGGACAAAAGAAGTACTCCCTCCGTTTTTATTGCTCCATTTCTTCATGCGCAGAGTTTTAAGAGAAATTGGAGAAATTAATAATATATGGAGTTAGTGAGGTATGTAGAACAATAAAAAAATTGTAAAAAGCAAAAGTAGTGGAAACAATTGGAGGAGAGATAATATGAAATTAATAAAATATGATCATGGTGGGTCCACTACGTGAGTGAAATCAGTTAAATATTGTACTCCCTCCGTTCCATAATGGTGTTCTTGTTTGAAATCTTTGACTTTTTTAAGAAAGAGAGAATATTCTAAATTTCTCTTAATCCATAAGAATAAATATAGTGATATGAGATCTAGTTTGATCTTCTTGGTGAGTAGATTATTAATATCTAACTTTTATAATTTCTCTTAATCCATAAGAATAAATATAGTGATAGGTCAAAGTTGGGTAAAAATTTGCATCAATTTACGAAACAGGAACATTATTGTGAAACGGAGAGAGTAAAAGTTATAAGGAAATGGATCAAGTATTTAAAAACGGATGGAGTAATAGAGAAGACTAGTAGAAACGTGTCATATAAATGGAGTACCGATATTTCAATATAAGGAACAAAAAAAATCCATTTGTTCTAAAACAATTGATTAATTGGCACAATAAAACTTTGGACATGTTATACCACTATTTTGACTTTATTTTTATATAGTTAAACAATAGGCTGCATAAGAATGAATATTGACACGGATACAAGTATGAAACAAATACAGGAAACATTTATTTCAAAATAAGGGACACGTGTATGGGATGTTAAAATTCATATAATATATTTTTTTAAAAAAGAATTTGACTATATATTTGTCATTTTGTCCTCTCATTAGATCATACTGCATCATAATATAAGTATTTCTACGAGTAATCTAAATAGGTTGTATGATGTAAAATAAATCAAACAAGTATTTCATATTTCTTTATGAAGGTAGTCTAAAGGAAAACAAAATGGATCAAATAAATTGCAAAATATTCAAAATTTATAATAAGATGTTTAATTATAATGTAGTCCTACGGGTAATTCTAAATAGGTTGTATGATGTAAAATAAAAAAAAAATGAGAAGAGCAAAAAAAAAATAAGAGAATGGTGAGCACAAAGATTTGATCCTTAAACCCCTACTCTAAGGAATAATGCAATTTACCATCTTAGCTAAAGTCAAATTGTGTTAAGTGAATACAAAAAATATATAATATATTTAATTAAATTGAATAGTGGTACATTGCGGTACATTAATTTAGTGGTACATATCGATACGCGTCATTTACTGTAGAATTTTCGGCATAGATAATATAATTTGAAATCACAAATGAAAGGAATATTTGTGTCTACTTCACTAAGAGAAGATATAGGAATATATCAATATACTTAAAACTATATGCATACATCATCAAAAGGAGTCAAATAATCTCAAAGGAGCAAAAGTGTTAGAACTAGAGTGAATAGTGAATAATACGGAGTAATTTTTAGCACACTTTTTTTTTTTAAAAAAAAAAAAAATTTATTGTTATTTTTTTTGTCAAAGCACACTTAATTAATTAGATGTTAAAATTTTGAGAAATATAGTGAGAATTACTTATTTCCTTTTTCAAATGTAAGGCTACGCTATTTATTTATTTATTTTTATTTTTTATTTTTTTATTTTTTGGTGTTAAGAGAGCCACAAGGGCGGAGAATGAGAATCGATCCCAAGATCTCTTGGAATCGGGAGGGGAGCTCTAACCACTTGAGCTATCCATCACTCTCTAAGGCTATGCTAAATTTAATATTGGGATCGATCTAACACTCTTAAGAGTACGTAAATCATATATATACACGTATGTCGTGTTAATTTGGTGTTAAGAAATTAAATTTGTATTCCCTCTGTTTTTAAATACTTGCTCCATTTCTTTTGGACACGCATGTTGATGCTAATTTTTTTATCATTAATATTTTTAATCGCCAATAAGTATAAATTCTAATAGTACAATTGAAAATTAATAATTAATTCATTGAGATGATTCCAACAAGTACCCGCAAGGCTATATTTTTTCTTATGTATAAATCACAAACATTAGTCAAAGTAGGACAAATGAATAGTGCAAAAAATATAAATGGAGCAAGTATTTAAAAACGGAGAGAGTATATCAATTCACCTTTAAATGTAACCATATGTTACATTAGCTCGGCTATATTTACATTATTCATAAATAATCACTTAGGAAATTTTAAAGTAATTAATTATCATATACGAGTATTATACTATCTAGTATGTATATGTATGAATTGATGATGACTTCAAATAGATTCTACTTTGTATATGATAATGACTTGTAAATTCTTCCACCATTCTTGCATTGCTTAGCTTGGCACTTTTATGAGCCACGAAGTTAGGGTAAAGGAATTAAATAAATAAAATTGAATTCGGACCAATCGAAAAAAATATATAATTTCATTCCTAATTTGGAGTAAATTTCATGTATGCATGAATCATCCATGAATACCTTTGAATGGCTAATTTAAGGAACCTTAGCTTAAATCTTTACAAATATAAATAGAGAAAGAGAGAGAGTTATTAATACAACATCTTGATCAAACTAACATCTATCAATCATACGTAAAAGAGTGTTATTGTGTTAAGTACAACAAAAAAAGATAAAGTTTACGTACTACATATTTTGAATAATAATTAAGGTAATCAAATAGGAAAACTAGCTGAAATTAAGGAGAAAATGCCGATGAACAATGAGATGTCGCCGTCAGCAACACCGGCATCTGTAAGTGATCGGCCGTTGATTAAGTCGTTCAGCTCTAAGGATGCCAGGATCTCACTTGTGCAAAAGGTATGTTTATTTGTATAATGCTTGATTAATTATATTCACCATATAAATCAATGGAAAAGGATATCGACTCACATAATTAAGCTTTTTCATGATTAACCCTCGTTTTTTTTAAAACCAATGTGGTGAGAGAGTCGTACGTTAAAGAATATTGATATAGTTTGTAAAAAAAAAAAAAAAGAATAATTATATAAACATTATTTGATCATAAATCATAAATACCGCCTTTGTCCAACAATTTAATTAATTTAGGTTATTGACATCAATCAATTTAATTAATTTAGGTTATTGACATCAATTAATTTGGTTGTATTAAAAATCGATCGTGCACCTAAGGCTATGAAAGAATATACGAGTGTATGTGTAGAGATGTCAATTCGGGTAAATGGGTCGGATTTGAGTCGGGTTAGTGTGGGTCGGGTCATCTCGGGTCGGGTCAATACGGGTTAATGTCGGGACCTATGCGGGTCGGGTTCGGGTTGGGTTATGCTGAAGTCGAGTCACTTCGGGTCATACATCTTATCAGGTTTGGGTCGGGTTTAGGTCGGGTTACATTCAGGTCGGGTGAAAAACAGGTCGGGTTACATTCGGGTTTTTACGGGTTTAAACGAGTTAGGGTCCTGTTCGGGTTCGAGTCGGGTTCGGTTCAAGTCAATTATTTACGGGTTATAATCAGGTCGGGTCATTATCGGGTTCGAGTCGGGTTCGGTTCAAGTCAATAATTTGCGGGTTATAATCAAGTCGGTTCATATTCAAGTCGGGTCATTCTCGGGTTCGAGTCGGGTTCGGTTCAAGTCAATAAATTTTTAATTTTTTTTTAAAGCTCCAAATAAAATTGCATAATTTAAAACATTTAAAAAAAATATTTAAATAAACAAGTGAATACTAACATTTGAAAAAAATATATAAGTAGTTATATGGAAGTTTATTTAAGGGTTATAATCTTATGTATTTGTTAACTTCGAATCTCTATTGTAGATGTCGTATGACTTTTAATTAATGAAATGTTTTTGCTATTCAAAAAAAAAAAAAGTTTATTTATAAGATAAATTTAGAAAAAAAAATACATTTGGCTGATTTAATTAGACAAAATCACTATCTTTCAAAAAAAAAAAAAAAAAAAAAAAAAAAAAAGACAAAATCACTATCACCTATTCACTTCACTCACCTCATATTGCCTCAAATACGTTTAAAAAACATTGATAGCTCAGAGAGTCACAACTCTACTCTAATACTCTATCACCTCATGTCCTCATATAGCTCATTGCTTATATAGGAAGTTGAAGATAATTAGGAAAAATAAAATCAATCACAATAGAGATTTCATGGTGGAAAATTTCGTCAATCTCGCCATTAGAGTGCAACCTTCCTTAATATACGAAGATTCAGTCATTTTTTTTTTTTTTTTGGCTGTTGTCCAGTTCAGTTTTTCTTTGACGAGGATTATGTAAGAGATAAGTCAAGTAAGATGAGAAAGACCACTTTTGTTTCATAATTGGAATCCATGTTAATAAATTGAAAAAAAGCCTGAAACTCAATAGTCAATACGAAGTACTCTTTTTATCCTAAAAACTCCTAAATCCTAAAATTCGGGTTAGTAATAGGTCGTGTTTAAATTCGGGTCAGGTCAATAAGAAGTCGGGTTGAATTTGGGTCGGGTCAATAACAAGTCGGGTTGCAAGCCTCAGGTCGGGTTTAAATTCGAGTCGGGTTAGGAACGGGTCGGGTTGACCTCGGGTCGGGTTAGTAACCAGTCGGGTTGAATTCGGGTTTTGACGGGTTAAATCGGGTTTGGGTCATTCTCGGGTTCGGTTCAGGTCAATAATTTACGGGCCACATTCGGGTCAGGTCCTCTCTAGGTCGGGTCATGGTCGGGTTTGGGTCTCAAATACTCGGGTCAACTCGGGTCTAAGGTTGGTTTTAGGTCGGGTTAGGTCGGGTTTGGGTCACCATTTTTTTCGGGTTCAGACGGGTTAGGGTTAGGGTCGGGTTAGGGTCGGTATTTCGGATCCAGGTCAGCTTTTAACAGCTCTACATGTGATATGTATGCATCAATATATTTTCATGCGTAGTAGTACATGTTTATCATTAACTTAGCTTTTGATGAATTAATTTATCAATATACGAAGCATAAGCTTTCAAATATACAGAAATGTGTAATCACAACGTACTATGATATATTGCATAGTTAATATCATAATGAACTTATAACATGAAATCATGAGGGTTTTTACAAAAAAACATACGACCTTTTTCTAACACCTTCAAAATTTTGAATTTAGGATACAAGGCCATGCTAGCTCTTTTCGCTTAGGTTAATTTTTACGCTACTGATTATAACTTATTTTTTTTAATAAAATTATTTTATACTCCGTATCAATAAATTCTTCGCACATGGTTGTAGACTAATACATAAAATTTTACGTTTCCATAACATGTTACATTGATTAATGATTATTCCATATTATACATGTAACTTATTTTCATACATTATATGTTGTAAAATTGAATTAATATTCAGGCAGGAGCAGAATTCGTTGGAACATTCATACTAGTATTTTCAGCAGCAGGTGGGCCCATAGTCAACCAAAAATTCGACGGAGCTGAATCATTATTAGGAAATGCCGCATGTTCTGGGCTTGCTGCTATGATTGTTATCCTTTCTATTGAACACATTTCAGGGGCCCATATTGACCCAGCTGTTACTCTTGCTTTTGCGGCCCTTAAACATTTTTCATGGGCCGAAGTGCCCATTTACATTGTGGCCCAATTCATTGGAGGGATTTCAGCTGCTTTCTTGCTTAAACTTGGTTATCACCCTTTTATGTTGGGTGGTGGTACTGTGCCATCTACTAGCTTTGGCCAGGCGTTTTTGCTAGAGCTTGTTGCAACTTTCTTCCTTATGTTCGTCATCACGGCTGTTGCGACTGATACACGTGCTGTAAGTTGTGTTATTTTTCGGAAATAATAGTCATATATACTAATTTATTATAATGTAATATAGGATCACGTGATATTACAAACCAAACAAATTTAATTGATATGATGATGTAACAATTTTTGTAAGTAGGTGAGTTGGCGGGCCTTGCAATTGGAAGTACTATCCTTCTTGACATACTTCTCATTGGGTAAGTACGTTAACTATTGTTGCAATTCTTTTATTCTGGGCACATGCAGTAGTGTCACGAATAAATAAAGACAGTGATATAGACGAGATTCAATTCTAAATTAAACCTTAGGCTTTTTGAGTGTTAGTTAGAGAGTTTAACTAATTAATTTAACTGACATCCATGATAATGTTGACACTTAATTTGTCGGCCAAGTACCGGTGGTTCAATGAATCCGGCGAGGACACTAGGACCGGCCATAGCAGCAGGAAGGTATCACGGAATATGGATATACATGTTGGCACCACCCTTTGGAGCCATTCTTGGAGCAGGCATTTATTCACTAATCAAGATAAAGGAAGATGTGAGTGAAGGATCACCTCAACGTGCTAAGAGTTTTAGCCGCTAAGCCGGAGAGGATCATATGTCATACACAACACCGTGTTACACACACACGAGAATATGTCCGAGTAGGTGGCCGGTGGACGGGCACGGAGGAAACCTACTAGTGTAGGAGTGTGCCCCGTCCCTTGCCTTACTTTCCTTACTTCTATATCATTTGTATTGTTGTGCATGCATAGATGTTACTTCCGATTGTTGATCCACTAGAATTTCAAATTGGCTACATTTTAATGTATGATAATGTTAATAAATCGTCATCACTTAATTTAAATTGGTCACGTATAGTAAGTCACCTACTATTTTATTTGACAAGTGACAAGTGACAAGCAATCATCAAAGAAGTTACTTTTGGAGTGTGCATGTAATTTTTTTTTTTTGGTTTGATTATCATTGTGATTAGTGTTTTGTATTCTTGGAAAAATTCTTATTACCCAAAATATATGTGGAGTAGTTGTGAATTGTGATTATATGTTTGTCTACATTTTATTGTTTGGCTAGCTAATTTTTATTTAGTAATGGTTATTAAATACTTACCAGAGTAGCAAATTAGAGATAAAGGGTACATATATTTCAAAAGATTGAAAGGTCATCATAAACAAAATTTCCCTTCAATCAAAGATTACTTTACATATGCACTTCTATTCCATTGTTACTTTGTAACTTTACTTAGTAAACACTGTGCACATATGTCCATAACCTATATGTATCACTAATTTTATAATTTTTATTTATTAAAAAATGTAAAATGAAAGCTTATACACTTATATTCCAAAAATTTCCTAGGCATCTGTTGTTTTATAGGGATATTTTTAATAGATTCTAGGACTAATTTGCAAATATTAATGAAATGGTAGGCAGAAATCAAAAATGCAATCGGTGAATAGAGTCTTCTAGAACATCATATAAATACTTCAGAATAAGAAATTGTAGCATCCAATATAACATGAACACCCGAAACGTTTCTTTAGTAAATAAACATAAACGTGTTACGTGTCAAAGGAAGTTCCAAATTGCTGGCATCAAAGAAACGTTTCTGTTGTCAAAATATATCATTCTAAAAAACGTTTTGAATCCACATACATGAACAAGCAAGCAGATCAAAATGTAGATCCATTGCATTGACGGCAAATTAACATGCAATTAACTATCTTTAGAAATCCTCTATTAGTTAATTAACTTGACATATTCTTGTGCGAGTATGCTTTTGTCAATATGTGAAATAGATTATGAAACTTGTTGACAAATGTACAGCGTATAAAAAAAAAATATATGAGATGAAGTTCAGCCTCTTGCATATACGTAATCATTAGTCAGATTTCTATATATAATAATTTTTAAATAAAATCAACGTCTATTGTATGTCTGTATATCTAACTAGTTGTTAACTCGTAAGAGTCCAAAATGAAATATGCACAAGTATTAAAAATAAAGATCCTAATTTGGATATCATGGAAGAAACGTTTCATATTTAGCAGTTGTTGGACGTACATTTACAAGCAAAGCGTTTCTTTTACATAAAATTAGAAACTTATACTCGTTGTCATGCACATGATATGGAGTATTAACTGTATTATTATAGAATTTGATTATTTCAAGTATGTAATGAACTAATGATGCATAGTCATTATCTTGGTTCATTATAAAATTAAACTAATGAAAGTGTAAAGGTTTATAGGAAACTAATTACATATTAATAACAAAACCTAAATGAAAAACATCAACAAAATACATTGTTATTATTGCCAAAACTTCTCATGTTGCTGTCAATTAGCCATGGCACGCCCATGCTGTAGGCATAGGCGCGATGCATGTACCAATTCCTACATCCGATACATGTATTGATGGTAAAATGATAAATATTGTAAATTTTATATAGCATATCATAACGTGCTTACATAGATCAATCAAACTCCACTATCTCAGATTCTCTGAATAAATGTTTGGTCGATCAACAAATAATTTACTTAACTTCGTAATAAAATAGTGACAATTTTGCACAGCTACAAGATGTATTAAGAAAAATATAATCATAAGTTGACCAAGAAAACTTCAAATTTATAATTTATACAGTTGATGTCAATCATGCCTTCCAATTTGAGCAAGTCAAAGCACCATAATATACATATATACAGAGAAATTCTAAGTATAGACATAGACACGCAGTAATATGTAAAGTGCCTTAGCCAAATATACAAGAAGCTAATTATAAAACAAAATTTCAAGGCTACAAAGTACAAATTAAGTTCACAACTGTCTTAAAATGTCGACAAGTAATAATGTAACCCCGTTGCCACCATTACTAACACCTACACCACCCGCCGCCAATCAACCACCGACGAGTCCGCCCTCGTTAAAGAAATCAAGCAGCAAGCTAATCCAAATTTCACTTCTTAAAAAGGTATATATTGTTTCTTCTTCTTTTATCCTAAGTTTTATTTATTTCTTGTAATGTAACAACATTTTCATCCTTAGAGATTACTCCCTTTGTTTCATAAAGAAAGCCTATTTCTAATGTTTATGACTCGCATAATAAAGAGAAATAGGCTTCTAATTATGAACAGTAGGGAGTATTAAATTTCATTTTGTTTACTTCTTTCATTCTCTTTTAGCAGCAACAACTGAAATTTTACACTTTTTCACGTTTTCCCTTTGACCAACATTGTTAATTTATATAAGTTGGGTGATGTTATATGAAACCTTATTAGATTAATCTAAATTTATATTTCACATAATTATGTTATTTATGTATTTACATTATATACATATTTATAATTAGAGATATTTATTAAGGTTAAAATTACACATTGACAAACACGTTAAAACTAAAAACGAGAATTATAGTTACAGTAATTTTTTTTTTTTTAACAGGCTGGTGCAGAATTTGTGGGGACATTCATATTGGTATTTGCAGCAGCAGCAGGGCCAATAGTAGACCAAAAAATGAGTGGAATTGAAACATTAATAGGAAATGCAGCATGTTCTGGGCTTGCAGTTTTGATACTAGTCTTATCAATTGGCCACATTTCTAAGGCCCATCTTAACCCAGCTGTTACACTAGCTTATGCAGCCCTTGGACATTTTCGTTGGGCCCAAGTACCCATTTTTATTTTTGCTGAAATTCTTGGTTCTATTTCTGCTTCTTTTTTGCTTAAGGCTGCTTATCACCCTTTTATGTCTGGTGGTGTTACAATGCCTTCTGTTAGTGTTGGACAAGCTTTTTTGTTGGAGTTTGTTGCTACTTTTATCCTCATGTTTGTTATTATCGCTGTCGCGACTGACCATACGGCTGTAAGTATTTTTTTTTGTTCGGTTCAGTTCTGTTCCTTTTTAGGAAATAAACCCTCCTCTCGAGGGGAAATTAAACTCTGATATGATGTTATCATTTAAACACGTTATGCTACAATATAGGTGGGCGACTTAGCGGGTGTTGCAATTGGTGGTGTTGTCATGCTTGACATACTCATTATTGGGTGAGTTAATTATACAAGCTCTTACAAGATTAATTTGCATTTGGTACAAAATGTAAAAAAAATAAATTATGGTACAACTTTAAAATAAACACACAAAGTCAACACCTATATATGTATCGTTACAACAATAACTAAATTAAATTGAACTGAATTTTAACACACGCAAAGCCTGCATAAGTGATAGCTTTATAGTTTATATGTAAAATGTGCAGGCCAATGACAGGTGCATCGATGAACCCTGCTAGGACACTAGGACCGGCCATAGCAACAGGAAGGTACCGTGGAATATGGATATACATGGTGGCTCCACCCTTGGGTGCTGTTGTTGGTGCAGCGGTTTATGCACTTATCAAGCTTCCCAAAGAGGACTGATTAACTTTAGGAAACTTCAACTTAACACCACACAAACTAACAAGCATTACATTCAACAATTCTAACTTCTAAGCTCTTCCCAAGGTAAAATCTAGGAAGGGCATTGGTCGTGTAAAAAAATCATAATATTTTGGTCGGATATACTACGTATTAATTTTGGGGTGATTTGTTATCTCGTTGAGGGTGATTAGCATAGTTTGTCATTTTGTCATACTGCTAATGCTAAAAGGTGACAATCTTTAATTCTTTATGATTGATGTTATTAATTATTATAATAGTTATAATGAACAATAAAATATTAGAAGTTTAGTTTAGATTTTATGTAAAGCAAGTCTCATTGTATAGATACAATCCTCATTAATCCTTACATTTAAACGCAAAGCTTCCATTCATCAATACATAGCATACAAAGCTTTTCACCCGAAAAATATGGTATAAAATCAAAAGATACACCCAATATATTTTTTTTTTTTTTTTTTTTACGGGACACCAAATTTATTCTTGTACCAATCTAATAATCCTATTAAAAAAAACAATCAATCAAGATATATATATCATACCAGGTAGAAATCGGTAAGCCCTTCTTCTTTTCCATTCATCAATATAATGGATACAAAGCTTTTCACCCAAAAAATATGGGATAATTAAAATTAAAAGATACACCAAATATAAACAAGGAAACCATATATCAAGATATATCACGAAATATTGTCCTTATATTATTAACAAATATGCACCTATAAATAATTGTAGTTAAACCCATGATAGTACTCATTACTCAATAATACTAGCAAACATAATGGCATCAAAAACCATTTTTTCTTTTGTCATCGTTGTCTTTCTATTGATGTTTGCAAATTGTAAGTCACGCAACTATTTATTCGTGTTTGCATCAAATAAAATAAAAAAAATTTGAGTGGATATAAATAATATAATCTTAGCGATGTAATTGTTTTGCTTAGGGATTGTTCAATATCCTGAATTTCTAGATATAATTTAAAAAGTAATATAGCATATGTTATATTATTATAATTAATTCTTACCCTACTTTATGCATGCATGTAGGTGATAACGCAGAAAATGAATTTGGATCGGTGAAGTTGATGAGCAGGAAAATTGTAGTACCGGAAACTATTCTTTGCACACAAAAGCATTGTACTTATGGAAATTGCTGGTGTTGTTTGGATACAAGATGTTTTCATACTCAACCAGAGTGCAATGCTTTTGCTAGCTCTACTAAATGTAACCCTGGGCTGTGAAAAAATCTACAATGGCGTTTTAAAAAAGGCACCAATATGTAGATGTGGCGAAATCTGATTGGCTTTTAATTTTATTTTGAATTATTTTTAATATCCATAATGTGTTAAATTGTATTTTTTAAAGCAATACATCATTATGAATTATGAAAAACTATTTTTATAATATTAATTAAATTTTGAAATTATAATTAAAAATTGCAAAATTAAAATTGTTCATCAATGTTTTTCATTCATGTCAAAGATTAGCAACCCATTCCCAAAATTATTCAAAATGCTTTTTTTTTAAAAAAAAAAAAAAGAGGTGCTCAAAGAGCAATGTTCTTCATTCATGTCATAAATTTAGCCATTTGTATTAGATTTACAACTTAAATTCAGCTTTGTAACCTATATTCATTTGTTAAATATTCGTCCATAGCAAGTAAATCCCTTGCCAAAGAGAACTAACAAAGAAGAACCTAAAAAAAAAAAAAGGAAATCCCTTGCTACATTATTGTATACTACTTTCAAGTAAATCTTCGTCCATGTCATAAAAAGGGCATTGGTTGTGTAAAAAAAAATCTTGTTCTCATATGGGGGTTCAGATGACATTTGTCTCATCATAATATTTCGATGGGATATACTACGTACTAATTTTGGAGTGATTTGTTATATTGTTGAAGGTGATTAGCATAATCTGTCACTTTGTCATATTATGATTGATGTTATGATAAGTGTTGCACATCAACAAAACACAAACTAATACAGTTAGGACTAGAAGATTATTCATCTTTTATTATTATTATTATTATGAAGATCATTTTGTTGTTAACATTTCAGAATTTAGACATTGTATTTGCAGTTATTGAGGTAATGAAGTGACAATGAGATTCTTCAACAATTTAGTGAACATCCACTAAATTATGAATGCATTATAATAACGAAAGATATCAACGCAAGATTTTTGGGGAAAAGGAATCAAATGTGATGAAAATCTAATTATGCAATGATAAAAGTTGTTTTCACAAGTCATATTCTTCAGGAAATAATAAAATGTAATTTAAGACCCAAATAATTAAGCACCCGTATAAATGTATAATACTCCGTATATCATTAGCAATCGAAACAGCAATAAAAACGTGAAAACGAAACCGAAACGAGAAAGAAAATGTGAAATGTACCAAGAACGAAACGTTTGAAGCCTTCAAACTCGCAGAGTATCATTTTTTGTGTACCTATGTAAGCTTATTAAATTAAGCCAACTTGATTACAAAAATGTCAATGATATACACTACAAGACTTGAAATTGAATGGTATATTCATCACAGAAATAAGATACGAACTGAATTCCCTCCGACCAAATCTATTCAATCGACCTACAAACCATACAACCGGCCTCACAACTCCAAAATATTCGGTGAAATAATTTACAGTTGGTGTATATCCCTCATTGTCTCTCATGTCACAATATTTACCGTATACAATTAGCTGCAACTATCAATTGAAAGCGAGCAGGTAATTTGTCATACCAAACATCCTTTGAATCCCTTTCTTAGCATTGTTTCATCCAAATCGCGTCCAATAAAAACCAGTTTGTTTATCCTCGTTTCATCCGGAGTCCATGTTTTTCCCGGGCAACCATCTAACATAGTGTGAACACCCTGAAGAACCACCACCATCAACCAAAGGTTCAACAATTGTGCAACGATGACCAAAAACTAAAAATAGAGGAAGAAATTTATGGTCAAATACCTGTAGAACATAGCGCTCATCAGATCCGTTGACTGATAAGACTCCCTTGTATCTGTACAAGTCTTCTCCCTTTTCCTCGATCAGTCTTTCGAGCCAATCGTCAAGCTAATCACAAGGAAGCTCAATTTTAAACACTGAGATGGATAAATTGGCACTAAGGTTCTGATCAATGAACAACACTAAAATGGTTGTTTTATGCTTTGAAAAGTTGAAATTTAACTTGGCCACCTATCTCAAGATAAAATCCACTAATAAACACTGATTACTCATTACTTTATCATTATGTATGAGTAATCAATCCCTCATTAACAATTACCAAATTAAGAAGAGAGCATAACTAGTTACCTCATCAAGATCAATAGTTCCTTCTGAAACAATGCTCACACTAGACACAGCAGAATCATGAGTATGATCATGATGATGATGACCCTGGTGATGCTCTGTTACAGTCAACAAAACAGAGGAAAATTAGAGGAGCAATTACTATTTTACTTGTAGATCATCCATAGCAGTAGTAAGATGAAACTGCGGAAGTAAATATAGCACAAGAGAATTATATATATGAAAAAAAAAAAAAATCCATAAATTTACTCTGAGTTCCTTAGGCTTAGAAAGTTGAAAACTTAACATTATATCCATCACTATGTGTGCTTTGCTGTACCATAATTCCTCATGTAATTCCAATACAACTTCTATGTCTCTTACTATGTTCAACACTTCATTTCAACCGAAGTGCCCTTGATTATTGACAGAGTGACAATCTTGCATGGGTATGGACACTTGACCCCTCATACACAACTGTATATGTTAAAAAATACTCCTAAAATGGCTTGATTTGACACCTGGACACATACTTATGTCCAACCTTAGTCGTGAAGCTTACTAACATAGTACAATCAATCAATCAAACAAAGCCTTAGTCCCATAAGTGGGGTCGGCTACATAAACCCTTACTAACATAGTACGGAGTACAACTAATGTTAATTTGCAATACAAATCTATGCAACAGGCTAGGCTTTCAACAACTTTGAATGTTAATGTTTCCAAAATCAAATCATGGATCAGCAGTCACCACCAATGATTTTTACCAGAAACCAAGGATATCATGTGGCTCATGCCAACAAAAGATCTCTGCAAGCCTTGCAGAGTAGTGCAAGCTACAGATTATACCACACTAAAAATCACCAATGAGCAGAGTAAACAAACTTTCATAAATATTTACCACATATCATGCATTCATGCTACAGATACATCAATTATTAAAATTGGAAAGAAGCAGTGATGTAAGATAAATGTTAACTAATAGTAGAGGCGAAAGTTGTTAATCTACCATAGTAAAGGCAGCAACAAATACCACCTTCCAGCATTAGAATCTTATGCAGAGAGAGTAATGACCAAAACATTGATAAATGAATGAAAAACAAATAAGTTCCTCACCATGTCCCTTTTTATGTTCATGACTAGCACAATGTGAATCATCTGATCGGACAGCAGATTCAACCCTGCAAATTCCAAGACGGAAATAATATCACGTTGCTTGCTCCAAAATGACAATTAATTATCATACTTAACTAATCCTCAATGAGCATAACATAGAAAGAGACAAAATATTGAAGTTGCATCTGAGTAACTGTAGTTACAACCAGCACTAGAAAGTCTCAACTCTCAAAGTATGACTCATAAATCATAAGGGTCACAGACTGCAAACAAAACCTGACCTGTCAAGATCATATCCACCTACTCCTAGAACAAAGTCGATGTCAACAGCTCCATATTTTGCGTGCTGTATTTGTGCCATTCCATTTATATGCTGCAGAAGAGACAAAGAATACAATAGATAGAGTGAGTTCATCTCAATATAAGATTCCTACAAAGGGCATTAACTATTTAACTGTATAGCCTTCATGGCTTTGAAACAATATCCTCACCAGTTAATCCTGAAGGAAATGTGACATAATCGAACCAAGTACTGATTTAATTCAAAGTGTCAAAAATATAACAGTTATAAAATCTAAAAAACAGAAGCTTTTCCCTAGACCAGTCTTATTTCATTGCAATGCAACACAGCACAACAGCAATTAAGAACTCTGACTCTAATGAAATTAAGAACTTCCTAACTTCCTCAAAACTTCCAGAATATCAACAGAAAGTATTTTGAGGTGTGACAATCTTGCATTATCTCTGCATAATGCTAGCCAATATTGCAAAATCCTTGGAACCATGAGTATGAAGCAATGGTGACACACTGACACTACTAAAGAGGACAACAAGAAAGAAATGTTCTCTCACTACTGTACAAAATTTTCAAATAAGAAGACTAATGAGAAATCAGAGTAGAAAGCCTACCTTGATTTTCTTTGTCAACACTTCCAAGTCAGCCTCGGAAACCAAATCAGTCTGCAAAGTCATTACAATTATGATAAATGAGTACTGCAGCACAAGGATATAAACCTTTCATTGTCAAAGCAATAAATAAAGTTATAGAATAGTTGCTGAACAAGTAGCAAAGCTTCACAAAGTACCTTATTTATGATAATCCGGTCTGCATAAGCAACTTGTTCTACAGACTCATTCACAACAAATCTTGGTTTAACTTCATTCAAATGTCTTGTGGCATGTTTAGAATCTACCATCGTTACAACACCATCTAGTTTTACATAACGTGAGACCATCTCATCACTGCAAAATGTCTCAATTACTGGACCCGGTTTTGCAAGACCTGATTGAGAAATGTAAGCCATAAAGGTCAGCAGTTAAATATTAATGACTTTGCAATCTAGGAAACTGAAAATTTTGATGATCAATCACAGGAAGCATGCTGCTACTTTTTTCCTCTAACCCCACCTAATAAGGTAAAAAGACAGAAATACCTGAATAAATCTCTGTGAAAGCCACAGAAAATTATCTATTTAGATAAGAAAAACAAAGAGTAAATGATATGGGTTGACAAATAGAAGACCAGAATAAATTCTTCAGTAGGAGCAGTTGTGTCCTAAGAGGCTAAGAGTTCCTTAGACAACATAGGTTCTTAATTTAACAAAAGAATTTATGTCATAATTCATATTAAGAAAATCATTATCACATTGGAATTTCCTTTCCCTTTTCCAACCCTGTGAATACAATTGTCACCTTAGAGCTGTCAAAAACTGACTCGACCCGAGAACCCAACCTGAACCGGCAAATGATCTAAACCCAACCTGTACCCGGACAATGGGGTGAAACTAATGACCTGTAACCTGACCTGAATCTGACCTGATGTTAACCGACAACCGATTTGGTCCAATACTTTTTGACCTGAACCCGAACCTGAGAGTAACCGTCAACCGATTTAATCCGACCCGACAACAATCTGAACCAGAACTAGTACCCGACCCAATTAAAACTTGTACCCGAGTCATGGAAGGTTTAACAAAATTTATATGCCTTTTGTTCAACTTACTGGTACAAATCTGTAAACCAACAATCGATTCAGTTTGTATACCTTTAGTTCTCTATTACTCATATATAGGTTTAATAAAATCTTGATAATGCTGATCAAATTATGGAAGGCGTAATTATATAGGTTCAACTTGAGCAAATCGATATTTATTGGAATTGAAATTGAACCAAAACCAACCTCAACACTAACTCGAACCCGAATGTACCATCTATTAACCCACTCAAATCTGACACACACACAACCCGAACCTGAAATTGAATCTGATCTGAATTTGACTCAAATTGAACCCGAGGACCCGACCTTAACCGACAATGATCTGAATCCATTATGTACTTGAACAATGGGGTGGATTATAGCCTTCAATTTTGCCATTTTTTCCGCCACCGGACCCAAAAACCTCAAATTTTCCATAAAAAGCATGAATTATAGCCTTCAATTTTGTAATTTTTGACCTTTTTTGACCGGAAATAAAATTGGCGAGATGTTTATTATGGTCCCTAATACCTTTCGGAAGTCCAATTAGGTCGGTGGAACCATACAATATGTCCTTAAACGGTCATTTTACCCGTTCGCAACTTGCATCGATTTTGTAAACTCAAACCTACCACGGACGTTTATAACAACATATAATGATCATATAAGGTTTCAAACGGCATTATATGATCCCGAGATGTATCCCTTAGAGTCTCACTTAGGGTCTCAAGGCTTTTCGCCACCAAGCCCCTAAACCTCAAAATTACCTCAAAAACATGGATTATAGACTTCAATTTTGTAATTTTTTTAACCTTTTTTCCCCAAATAAAAATTGCTGAGATGTTTACCATGGTCCCTAATATCCTTTGGGAGTCCAATTGAGTCGGTGAAACCATTCAATATGCCCTTAAACGGTCATTTTACCCGTTCACAACTTGTAGTAATTTCGCCAACTCAAGCCTACCACGTACGTTTATAACAATATATAATGATCATATATGGTTTTAAACAGCAATATATGACACCGAAATGTATACATTAGGGTCTCAAGGCTATTCGCCACCGAGCCCCGAAACCTCAAAGTTTCCTCAAACAACGTGGATTATAGCCTTCAATTTTGTAATTTTTTAACCTCTTTGCTGAGATGTTTACCGTGGTCTCTTATATCCTCCGGGAGTCCAATTAGGTAGGTGGAACCGTCCAATATGTCCTCAAACGGTTATTTTACCCGTTCGCAACTTGCACCGATTTCGTAAACTCAAGCCTACCACGGACGTTTATGACAACATATGATGATCATATAAGGTTTCAAACGGCATTATATGACCCCGAGATGTATCCCTTAGTGTCTCAAGCCTTTTCACCACCGGGCCCCTAAACCTCAAAATTACCTCCTCAATTTTTTAAATTTTTAACCTCTTTTCGCCCGAAAATAAAGATTGTCGAGATGTTTACCATGATCTCTAATATTCTCCGGGAGTCCAATTGGGTCAGTGGAACCATCCGATATGCCTTTAAACGGTCATTTTACCCGTTCACAACTTTTAGTGATTTCGTAAACTCAAGTCTACCACGTACGTTTATGACAACATATAATGATCATATATGGTTGCAAACGACATTATATAACCCCGAGATATATCCCCTAGGGTCTCAAAATGTTTCGCCACCACCGGTACCGAAACCTCAAAATTTCCTCAAAAAACGTAGATATAAGCTTCAATAGTGTAATCTTTTGACCTTTTTTCGCCCGAAAATAAAAATTGTCGACATGTTTTCCATGGTCCCTAATACCCTCCGGGAGTCCAATTGGGTCGATGTAACCATCCAATATGCCCATATAATGATCATATATGGTTTCAAATGGCATTATATGACCACAAGATGTGTCCTTTAGGGTCTCAGGGCTTTTCACCACTAGGCCCCGAAACCTCAAAATTTCCTAAAAAGCGTGGATAAGCCTTCAATTTTGTAATTCTTTGACCCTTTTTTCCCCCGAAAAAAATAATTGTCGAGATATTTACCACGGTACCTAATACCCTTTGGGAGTCCAATTTATTCATTGGAACCACCCAATATGCCCTTAAACGGTCATTTTACTCGTTCACTACTTGTAGTGATTTCATAAACTCAAGTCTACCACGTACGTAAATGACAACAAATAATGATCATATATGCTTTCAAACGGCATTATATGACCCCGAGATGTATCCCTAAGTGTCTCAAGGGTTTTCGTCACCAGGCCCCAAAACCTCAAAATTTCCTAAAAACCGTGGATTATAGCGTTCAATTTTGTAATTTTTTAACCTTTGCCAGAAAACTAAAATTGTCGAGATGTTTACCATGGTCCCTTATATCCTGAGGGAGTCCAATTGGGTAGGTGGAACAATCCAATATGTCATGAAACGGTCATTTAACCCATTCATAACTTGCACCGATTTCGTAAACTCAAGTTTACCAAAGACATTTATGACAACATATAATGATCATATATGGTTTCAAACGTCAACATATGACCCCAAGATATATCCCCTAGGGTCTCAACACTTTTCTCCATCGGGCCCCGAAACCTCAAAAAGCGTGCATTATAGCCTTCAATTTTGCAATTTTTTGACCTTCGTTCGCTCGGAAATAAAAATTTCCAAGATGTTTACCATGGTCTCTTATACCCTCTATGAGTCCAATTGGGTCGGTGGAACCATCCAACATGCCCTTTAACAGTCATTTCACTCGTTCACAACTTGTTGTGATTTCGTAAACTCAAGCCTACCACGACGTTTATGACAACATATAATGATAATACATGGTTTCAAACGTCATTATAAGCCACCGAGATATATTTCCTAGAGTCTCAACACATTTCGCTACCGGGCCCCGAAACCTCAAAATTTCCTCAAAAAGCATGGATAATAGCCTTCAATTTTGTAATTTTTTTTGACCTTTTTTCACCCGAAAATAAAAGTTGCTCAGTTGTTTACCATGGTCCTTAATACTCTCTGGGAGTCCATTTGGGTTGGTGGAACCATCCAATGTCATTTAACAGTCATTTTACCCGTCCACAACTTGTGATTTCGTAAACTCAAGTCTACCACGGATGTTTATGACAACATATAATGATCATATATGGATTCAAACGAATATATACCTCGAGATATATCTCCTAGGGTCTCAACGGTTTTCGCCACCAGGTCTCGAAACCTCAAAATTTCCTCAAACAACGTGGATTATAGCCTTCAATTTTGTAATTTTTTGACCTTTTTTCACTCGGAAATTAAAATTGCCGACATGTTTACCACGGTCCCTAATACTCTCTAGGAGTCCAATTGGGTCAGTAGAACTATCCAATATGCCCTTTTACAGTCATTTTACCCGTTGAGAACTTGTTGTGATTTCGTAAACTCAAGCCTACCACGGACATTTATGACAACATATAATGATCATATATAATTTCAAACATCAATACATGACCTCGAGATATATCTCCTAGGGTCTCAACACTTTTCTCCACCGGGTCCCGAAACCTCAAAATTTCCTAAAAAGCGTAGATTATATAGCCTTCAAGTTTGTAATTTTTTGAGCTTTTTTCGCTCGGAAATAAAAATTGTCAATATGTTTACCATGGTCTCTTATACCCTCCAGGAGTCCAATTGGGTAGGTAGAACCACCCAATATATCAAGAAACGGTCATTTTACTTGATCGCAACTTGCACCGATTTCGTAAATTCAAGCCTACCACGGACGTTTATGACAACATATAATGATCATATATGATTTCAAACGACATTATAAAACATCGAGATATATCCCCTAGAGTTTCAACACGTTTCACTACTGGGCCCTAAAACCTCAAAATTTCCTCAAAAGCGTGGATTGTAGTCTTCAATTTTGTAATTTTTTTTTACCTTTTTCCACTCGGAAATAATAATTGCGAGATGCTAACCATAGTCCCTAATGCTCTCTAGGAATCCAATTGGGTCGGTGGATCCATCCAATATGCCCTGTAACGGTCATTTTACCCGTTCACAACTTGTGGTGATTTCGTAAACTCAAGCCTACCACGGACGTTTATGACCACATATAATGATCATATATGGTTTCAAACGACATTGTAAGATACCGATATATATCCCCTAGAGTCTCAACACGTTTCGCTACCGGTCCCCGAAACCTCAAAATTTTCTCAAAAAACGTGGATTATAGCCTTCAATATTGTAATTTTTTTTTTACCTTTTTCACTTGGAAATAAAATTGCCGAGATGTTTACCATGATCCCTAATACTCTCTAGGAGTCCAATTAGGTCGGTGGA